TTTATAATTACCAACAAGATGTGTTTCCTTTTCCCGAGTTGCCAAATCTTTCATATTTGAATTTCCACCAATATCGACATTAGAAATCTCAAATCCATTTCGATCACTAATTGAACTTGTTCTTAGGTTATTACTTTGTGCATCTTTATGAGATTTCAAACTGTGAGTTGCCAACTCTGGTGTGTTGATTGCCATTAAATGTCCATTTTTATTTGAATCTTCGTTTGATTTATTGGTAAAATCATTAATTGAAATGTTGTTATTAATTTCAATACTGTTTGTGTGGTTTCGAGTTGCCAACTCTTTCATATTTGAATTTCCATCAATGTTTTCATTAGTAATCGACAATCCATCATCAGAAATATGGGAATTAATTTCAGATTTAGTATTTTGTTCGATGTTAGGGCTTTCCAAAATTCGAGTTGCCAACTCCTGCATTTTTACTGCCTTTAAATACATCTCTTCATTGAAATCTCCATTAGTTGTAGCGGTAAAATCATATTTTAAATCATTTTCATTATTTTTAACAATATTTCTTCCTTTTAGTGTTGCCAACTTGTTCATATTTGAATTTTCATCATCATTTTCTTTAACAATTTTCAATTTGTCACCTTTATTATGTGAATTTGTCTCAGATTTATTATTTGTTGCGACTTCATGCAGCAAAACATACGTTTTCAGATTTGGAGTTGCCAACTCCTTACTCAAGGAAGCATTTAAACTTACATTTCCTGCGTAATTTTCAATTATTCCATTTAAATTACTTTTATTTAGTGGATTTGTCTCATTTTCTTCATTTGGCGTTGCCAACCCTACATTATTTGTTGCCTTTATAACATGATTATTGCCAATTTGTGGGGAAGTCTGACCTACTCCAGTGACATTTTCTTTGTCAGTTACTTCGTTCTGTAAAGAAGTTTTACTTTCTTGCTTTAGAGTTGCCATCGGCATCTTAGTAATGACCTTTAATTCATGATTTGCACTATCAGATGTCTTGTAAACATCACTTGGACTCATAATTTGATTTATGTCACTTGAATTTAGCAACATTTTGGGTGAAATAACAATTTTTTCCTTCCGAGTTGCCAACTGAATCTTGGTGGTTGTGTCTAAATCATTGCCCGGTAAAATATTTTGCGATATTAGACTTGTGACGTTAGTACTGACTTCCTTTGCTGATAAACTAGTGTTTAGTGTTGCCAACCCGTTAATAATTGGCCTCTCCAAATCATTGGAAGAATGTAGTTTTTGCATCATTGGCCTTATGACATTGTTAGTTGTTGGTTTTTGTGCCAGAATATTGGGTTTAAGTTTTTGAGTTGCCAACCATTTATCATTTGGAGTCATTCTCAACTCATGGTTTGCGCCTCTTCCTTTCAAAACTAAATGGGGTTCATTATAATTTTCTATTTTATGTGCTTGCATGCGATTAAGTTTATTTGGAGTTGCCAACCATATATTGTTGTTTACCAAAACATCATTTCGTGTGGATGTTTTCTTCAGAAATGCATTAATGTATCCATTTTGTTGATGATTTTTCTCATATCTTTGAATTGAGTCCGAACTTGAATTGTGTATTTTTGTAGTTGGCAACACTGTTGATGCATTATTTAACCTTGTTAATCGGTGTGTTGTATTTTCATGAAGAAACTCATTCGGATTGTTGTTTTTGAAATTTTGATAATTTCCTGGGGATAAACTGATGTTCGTGGCGTTGCCAACTATATTGCTAGGAGTGTTAATTTGCAGTTTTGAAGTTTTTAAAGTTGTTTGTATTAAATTTTTGCCATTCAGAACAGACTTCTTTGTAAGTGTTTGAATATTTCTATCCGATTTTTTATTAGTTGGCAACGCATCGGTGTTAAAGGTATTGTGTTGTAATTTCTTCGTTATAAGGCGTTGAGATCTCCGTCTTTTATTTTTATTACGTTTTGACAGACTGTTGCTGACCATAAGGCTATTCACCTTAAATGAGGGAAACTTTTCTGCTAACATGTCGAATTTTTCCGAAGATTGAACTTCGGCTCTTTCAGGTTCTTTGTTGGTTATTCCGCCGATAGAGGCCTCCAATTTTTTGTCTTTCATTTCAATTTGAAGTGAAAAGTCATGGGCTTCATCCTTACCATGATGCTTCTCATTAAAGTCCACATTTATTAGAATGCAGAGCAGCATAAATCCAATAACAGCTGGGACCAATAAAAATTTCAAATATCTGGGGAGATTTTAGAGAGAAATTAATTTGCCGGAATTTCCAAAAAACCTCTACTTACGGATATTTTTTGTCCGGCTCATAGAACCTTCTTTCCGATTCCCTTCTTTGGGATATATCAAAGGATTCATGTTTGATTAACATATTCACCGCGATGTTCGATTCATCAAAAAAAAAAACTTGACTTGTGCTTGTGATCCTGGCTAGTTACGGACTGATTCAATAAACGTATCAAAATCAATCAGAAAAATTCGAAATGTTCTGCATTCGGTTATGCTTATTAAGCGTTAGACAAATAATAAAATTAAATCTGTTTAATATAATTTCTATCTTATCGCGGAGATAGCGAGGACAATTGTTATTGAATTGTTGCGATTGATTATTTGGCGAAATTAATTCGCAGCATAATTGAAGGGAATACCCCTACACAATGCCAATACCTCAACAAGGCCAACACAAGGCGTGGATTTTTTAAGAATCATTTTTCAGGGCCTATAAGAGGCGTTGATTTTGTAAAGAATAAGAGACGTGGATTTTTTAAAGAATATTTTTGAAGGCCTACAAGAGGCCTGGATTTTTTAAAGAATATTTTTTCGAGGCCTACAGAAGGCTTGGATTATTTAAAGAATATTTTTTCGAGGCCTACAAGAGGCGTGGATTTTTTAAAGAATATTTTTTCGAGGCCTACAAGAGGCGTGGATTTTTTAAAGAATATTTTTTCGAGGCCTACAAGAGGCGTGGATTTTTTAAAGAATATTTTTTCGAGGCCTACAAGAGGCGTGGATTTTTTAAAGAATATTTTTTCGAGGCCTACAAGAGGCGTGGATTTTTTAAAGAATATTTTTTCGAGGCCTACAAGAGGCGTGGATTTTTTAAAGAATATTTTTTCGAGGCCTACAAGAGGCGTGGATTTTTTAAAGAATATTTTTTCGAGGCCTACAAGAGGCGTGGATTTTTTAAAGAATATTTTTTCGAGGCCTACAAGAGGCGTGGATTTTTTAAAGAATATTTTTTCGAAACCTACAAGGGGCGTGGATTTATTTTTCGAGGCCTACAAGAGGCGTGGATTTTTTAAAGAATATTTTTTCGAGGCCTACAAGAGGCGTGGATTTTTTAAAGAATATTTTTTCGAGGCCTACAAGAGGCGTGGATTTTTTAAAGAATATTTTTTCGAGGCCTACAAGAGGCGTGGATTTTTTAAAGAATATTTTTTCGAGGCCTACAAGAGGCGTGGATTTTTTAAAGAATATTTTTTCGAGGCCTACAAGAGGCGTGGATTTTTTAAAGAATATTTTTTCGAGGCCTACAAGAGGCGTGGATTTTTTAAAGAATATTTTTTCGAGGCCTACAAGAGGCGTGGATTTTTTAAAGAATATTTTTTCGAGGCCTACAAGAGGCGTGGATTTTTTAAAGAATATTTTTTCGAGGCCTACAAGAGGCGTGGATTTTTTAAAGAATATTTTTTCGAGGCCTACAAGAGGCGTGGATTTTTTAAAGAATATTTTTTCGAGGCCTACAAGAGGCGTGGATTTTTTAAATAATATTTGTTCGACGTCTTTCAAGGCCTACAAGAGGCGTGGATTTTTTAAAGAATATTTTTTCGAGGCCTACAAGAGGCGTGGATTTTTTAAAGAATATTTTTTCGAGGCCTACAAGAGGCGTGGATTTTTTAAAGAATATTTTTTCGAGGCCTACAAGAGGCGTGGATTTTTTAAAGAATATTTTTTCGAGGCCTACAAGAGGCGTGGATTTTTTAAAGAATATTTTTTCGAGGCCTACAAGAGGCGTGGATTTTTTAAAGAATATTTTTTCGAGGCCTACAAGAGGCGTGGATTTTTTAAAGAATATTTTTTCGAGGCCTACAAGAGGCGTGGATTTTTTAAAGAATATTTTTTCGAGGCCTACAAGAGGCGTGGTCTTCAGGGAAATTATGATTTTTTTCAATAGAAAAAGAAGTCTTCAGGGACATGATGATTTTTTCAATTGAAAAAGAAGTCTTCAGGGTCATGATGATTTTTTCAATTGAAAAAGAAGTCCTCAGAGACCTGATGCTTTTTCTATAGAAAAATAATTTATCATGGACCTGACGGATGTTTTTCTATTTAAAAAGATGTTCTCAGGGATTTTTGGATCTTTTCAAGAATATTTTTTTCAAGGCCTACAAGAGGCGTCGATTTTTTAAAGAAAATTTTTTCGAGGCCTACGAGAGGTGTGGTCTTCCGGGACATGATTTTTTTTTTCAATAGAAAAATAAGTCCTCATGGACCTGATGCTTTTTCTATAGAAAAATAATTTATCATGGACCTGACGGATTTTTTTCTATTTAAAAAGAAGTTCTCAGGGACCTGACGCATTGTTTTTCCGTAGAAAAAAAGGAGTCTTCAGGGACCTGACGAATTTTTTTCTATTGAAAAATAAGTCCTTGGGGACATGACGATTTTTTTCGATAGAAAAATCTGCCTAAATAAATATTTACATTACTCTTCAGATGTTTAGGAAATTATGCAAATTTATTTTTACCTAATCAGTGGAGGTGGCAGAGCCATCACACACGCCACAGTAAACAACAAATCGAACTTAAATGATTAGATAAACAATGATAATAGACTATCATGAAATGGTAAAAGTCCCCGGGTGGGTGGGGAGACAAACATAGGTCCCAGATAGACTAACCTGTTCGATGTGTAGATAAGAGTTATTAAATCTGATAACAAATCCGATAGTGTATGTCCTTAAAATTACTGGTGTCACAGAGCACGGCAGTCAGTAGTTGCCTATCAGTCTTGGAGACATGACATTCCTGGCAATAAATAATTCAGCAGAACCCTCCAAAACGGATACCAAGAAGCTCCAAAAGAAGGGAAATGGAACAGAATCGGAAAAGTAAGTTCAAGTTCGAGATAAGGAAAATATAGGTTAGTATTATTTTCCGGCTCTCTTCTCTATTTCTTTTTTTTCTTTCTAGAAACTCTCTCTGCGGTATGAGCGAAGTTTGTATCCAGACCTGCGCCTGGATATTACTAACCGTTGGACTTTGTATTATCATTGTGGTCTTCTATTTGGCCATACACCAACAGAATCATGATAATGTCCGCTCATTTGACTTGGATTCCCGTAATGAAATTTCCATTGCCAATGTTTCCATTGTCCATGAGGATGCGGCTGTAGTCGTCAATGAGAGTGGTGGTGGTGATGATGATGACGATGATTCCGACGATAACAATTCGGAAGATAATTTATTGCGTGTCAACCAAGATAATGAATGGCTGGATTCACCACGCAGCAGTCGGTAGGTTATTGATTCTATTATTTTTAATTATTGGGGGAACTGATTTATGAGGCTTATTTTTTGTTGCTCTTCGACAGGATGATTATTGAAAATGTATTCGGTTCAATATCGACGAATTTAATTGGTTGCCAAGAGAAGCTTTGTAAGATTGCCTGTTCGAATGATAAACATATTTATACCTCATTGTTTGCGACCATGAAGGTAAGTGGAAGAAAAAAGTCCCCTGAGGCTATTCTTTTTCTATAGAAAAAAATTCGTCAGGCCCCCTGAGGCTATTCTTTTTCTATAGAAAAAAATTCGTCAGGCCCCCTGAGGCTATTCTTTTTCTATAGAAAAAAATTCGTCAGATCCCCTGAGGCTATTCTTTTTCTATAGAAAAAAAATTCGTCAGGTCCCCTGAGGCTATTCTTTTTCTATAGAAAACAAATCGTCAGGTCCTCTGAGGTTATTCTTTTTCTATAGAAAAAATTCGTCAGGTCCCCTGAGGCTATTCTTTTCTATAGAAAAAAAATCGTCCAGTCCCCTGAGGCCATTATTTTTCTATAGAAAAAAAATTCGTCAGGCCCCCTGAGGCTATTATTTTTCTATAGAAAAAATATTCGTCAGGTCCCCTGAGGCTATTCTTTTTCTATAGAAAAAAATTCGTCAGGTCCCCTGAGGCTATTCTTTTTCTATAGAAAAAAATTCGTCAGGTCCCCTGAGGCTATTCTTTTTCTATAGAAAAAAATTCGTCAGGTCCCCTGAGGCTATTCTTTTTCTATAGAAAAAAATTCGTCAGGTCCCCTGAGGCTATTCTTTTTCTATAGAAAAAAATTCGTCAGGTCCCCTGAGGCTATTATTTTTCTATAGAAAAAAATTAGTCAGGTCCCCTGAGGCTATTCTTTTTCTATAGAAAAAAATTCGTCAGGTCCCCTGAGGCTATTCTTTTTCTATAGAAAAAAAATTCGTCAGGTCCCCTGGGGCTATTCTTTTTCTATAGAAAAAAAATTCGTCAGGTCCCCTGGGGCTATTCTTTTTCTATAGAAAAAAAAATCGTCAGGTCCCCTGGGGCTATTCTTTTTCTATAGAAAAAATTCTTCAGGTCCCCAGAGGCTATTATTTTTCTATAGAAAAAATTCTTCAGGTCCCCTGATGCTATTTTATTATTCTAATGAAAGCATCGGTTATGTTTTTTCTTTCCCTTTTCCAGACCACCTCCTGCCCCTCCATTGATGTATTGCTCATGGAATCCCAAAATTTCCCCGATAATATTTTAACAAATTCCTGGCTGCCGGCTAATCTTTCCGTGTATGAGATTATCTTACGGTCAAGTAATGTAACCCGGATCAAGGGCAACTCCTTTAATACGCCTATGTTTATGGGTGTATTTCTAATGTCCTGGTTCGATTTGGAACTGGATACAGTGGAAAGTGGAGCCCTATTGGGCCTTTTTAAACTGAGATATCTGACGATCGATAGTAAAATTAAAAAATTGGAACCGGCCTTCTTTCAACCGGTCCAAACTACCCTAACCCATTTGAAATTGAATGCCCGACTCGAGATGAGTGGCAATCGGAATCTCTTCGATGTCGGCTATATGAGTAAACTGGAATATTTGGATTTAAGTTATAATAACATCAGCGGAACATTGACACGACGAATGTTCCAGTCCACACCGAATTTGAAATATCTGATCATGATCGATTGTAAATTGGAACATATCGAGGAGCATGCCTTTCGGAATTTGACGAATAGGTTGATATTTTTGAATTTAGCCAAGAATCGTTTGATCACACTGGAGGCACAGATTGTGGAGCCGATATTGCGGAACAATGTCGGTGCTATGGTTAGCCTCAGTCGCAATGAATGGCGTTGTGATTGTGATATGGAACATCTGGCATCGCTGTATCGTGAACAGCGGAATAAATTTATAGAAGATGTTTATTGTACGGCCCCTAGGATTCTCTATGGCATACCCATTGATGAGGTGAACTATGAGGAGCAGGGTTGTGATAAATTTGTAACCACCGAAGCTACCATTGAAGAAATAGAAATTTCGCCCACGATCCCCCTGACAACTCCCAAGACAACTGATAGTACCCCGAAAATGGATTTCGATGCCAGCGAGGATGATAATATCGATGATTCCGGGGAAATAACGAAGTTGTTTAAAATGCGTTGTGTCAATGCCGAATCGGCAGAGTCGAGTGTGGCGGAAATTACCGCCTCGGCAGAGGTACTCGAACGCAATTTGGATGCCGGTGATGACAATGATATTTTCCAATTGCCACCACCCTCCCATGAATTCGATTTGGAATTAATCGAAGAAAACAACACCGTCATTGTACTGGTCAAGGATCCCGGGGATCTGGTCATTATGTGGTTCAGCGAACAAGAAGAAGCCGACTTTGTAACCTGTAATGGTCGCACTGTGGACTATGAATGTATGCGTTATGCCCAGCCCCAGCTAATGGTGGGCCCCTTGGTGGAGAATACCACCTACACGTTTTGTTTGGTACCACCCTATCAAAATGCCATATCCCCATTCAATTGTATGCCTCTCCACGTGCCCCTCAAGAGGCAGGAGAACATTTGGATATCTCAGGACAATAAACAATTTACCATTGGCATGTTGTGCCTCATCTTTTTGGTCTCCACCATTATGGGGGCCTTGGTTGCCTATTTTGGCATTAAAACCTATCCCGATCTCTTGGAGGGTTCGAAAAATGTTTTAGTTGTCAAGAAACCTGACAAGTCGTGTTATGTTTCAACCATATCGGAAACGGAATATATGAAACAGAATTCGCTGAAGAAGCGTAAGACCTACATCAATAATGAGAAAAAGGATTCGCTGAGCAAAGAGGTCCTAAGGAAGAAATCGTCCATCAAGTGAGTCCAAGTTTCATTAAAAAAAATTGAAATTTATAATCATTAATTTCCTCTTAGACTACCCCTACCCGCCATACCACCCGAAACACCACCACCTTCCTTTCAAATGTCTGTACAAAATTTGCCGCCCAGCTTGATATCGAATTCGCCCTATTTGGATGATCCATTCTCTTCGGATTTTATTTGTCGTGATGAAAACTATGAGACACCAAGATCCTGTGAAAATGAATATACCCTGGAACAGCGTTCGGCCCCAAATAATTATGCCATGAGTCCAGCATCACCACCTCCGCTACCGAAAAGGAATTCGAATTTATCGGATACCTCTACACTTGTTCTGCAACGATCCTCTAAGGAAATGTAAAATCCGAGGGAAAAGTACTTCGAAGTAAAATAAAAAATCCTTAGGACCTTCAGGATTATTTTTTTATAGAACAAACTAATCATCAGCTCCTAATCGGATTTTTGTTTTCTTTCGAAAATTATCCCTCGGAGTGACCCGATGTCTATTTTTTCTATTGAAAAATATCCTCAGCTTCCTGAGGATTTATTTGCTATTGAAAAAAATCCGACAGGTCTCTATCCACTTCTTTTTCTATACAAAAAAAAAAAGAAAAAAATCCGACGGGTCCCTGTCGACCTCTTTTTTATAAAAAAATGCTGACAAGTCCCTGTCGACTTCTTTTTCTACAGAAAAAAATTCCCACAGGTCCCTGTCGACTTCTTTTTCCATAGAAAAAATTCAGACAGGTCCCTGTCGACTTCTTTTTCCAAAAAAAAAAAAAAATTCCGACAGGTCCCTGTCGACTTCTTTTCTTTTTTTATAGAAAAAAATTCCGACAGGTCCCTGTCGACTTCTTTTTCTACAGAAAAAAAAATTCCGACAGATCCCTGTCGACTTCTTTTTCTATAGAAAAAAATTCCGACAGGTCCATGTCCACTTTTTTTCTATAGAAAAAAATTCCGACAGGTCCATGTCGAGTTCTTTTTCTATAGAAAAAAATCCGACAGGTCCCTGTCGACTTCTTTTTCTATAGAAAAAAATCCGACAGGTCCCTGTCGACTTCTTTTTCTATAGAAAAAAATTCCGACAGGTCCCTGTCGACTTCTTTTTCTATAAAAAAAATCCGACAGGTCCCTGTCGACTTCTTTTTCTATAGAAAAAAAATCTGGCAGGTCCCTGTCGACTTCTTTTTCTATAGAAAAAAATTCCGACAGGTCCCTGTCGACTTCTTTTTCTATAGAAAAAAATTCCGAAAAGTCCCTGTTGACTTGTTTCTATAGAAAAAAATTGCTCTGGCATGCTGAGGGGTTTTTCTATAGAAAAAAATCTGTCTTCTTTTTCTATATAAAATATTACTGTACTATTTTTAAATATATTTTTTCCATCGATATCGTATTTGTATTTTATGTTTAAAAATTAATTTGGAAAAAAAATAATTCAAACAAACCTTCCGAACCCTTATCACCGATTTTTTCCCTAAATATATTTTCATAAATTCAATTTTTTCCAAAAATATCACAATGGTAAGTTCTAATCCCGTAAGGAGATCCCATACCAACACCAGATTTGTTATCCCTTTCCTAAGGATCCTGATAACAACCATGATGCTGAGGAACGAATTCAATCACCATTTGTTCCCATTACCCCTAAGGATTCCCTATCCGCCATGGATTCCGAACCACCAATTTCACCACCCAAAAAACCCATGCCAAGAAAAATCGCCCCGCTTCCCACTCGAAAGACAATACCAACAAAAACAATGGTAATGGAGGCCCTAAAGACCATAACCAAATTAGACGAACCACAACCCGATCCCTTATCACGACAACGTAAAACTCTTAGCTTACGTGGTATTCAGAAATTTATGGCCCTGAAATATTTCGTAACAAAGCCGGATATGAAATCGCGTATGCCTTATGTGAAGAAATACGTTCGAGATTTATTGGCCAAGGGCCAATTGAAGAGTGTCAAACCGGGTGCCGGTATAACGGGGTCATTTTGGGTGCCAGCTAAAAGTGAATTAAAAAAGGAATTGAGGAGTAAACCGAAAAGAAGGGGTTCTAAGCCCAAGAAATCTTTGGCAAGGAAGCAAAAGGGTGGTCGGAAGGTCAGACGAGGTGGTGGAAAAATGCGAATGTCGGGTCACAATTAAAACATTATTCTATTTTGTTATTTTTCGATATTGGTTAATAAAATTTATTTTCAAAACCTACTTCACCGCTGTACACATTTTTATAGAGGTCGGAACTTGTCATGGTAAGTCTCCCTCTGAGGTGCTTCACCTATAGCACAAAATATGCCCCAGTGACCTCCTTGAACAATTTAAAAGTCATAACGGAAAACTAATTGCCGCTGATTGATATTTTCAGATCTTTTCTTTGTTAGGTTCCGACCGAACTTCTCTATTACTTATTTTTTAAAAATAACGCAGAAACATGTGGTCTCCATCAAAATTATGAAGACGAAAGCGGGGCGGTTCCTTTATAGTACCTACAAATAAATCAAACGCAACATTCTTGCAATCTACAACGACAGGAACACTTATTGAGGCAAACATACACGCACACATACAAAAAAAGAAAACAAAATGTTACAGGGTTGCCAATTCACATTGCAAAGAATAAGAAGAGGGGACTTAAAAAAAATAATATTTTTCAAGGCCTACAAGGACCTACAAGAGGCGTGGATTTTTTAATGAATATTTTTCAAGGCCTACAAGAGGCGTGGATTTTTTAATGAATATTTTTCAAGGCCTACAAGAGGCGTGGATTTTTTAATGAATATTTTTCAAGGCCTACAAGAGGCGTGGATTTTTTAAAGAATATTTTTTCAAGGCCTACAAGGACCTACGAGAGGTGTGGATTTTTTAAAGAATATTTTTCAAGGCCTACAAGAGGCGTGGATTTTTTAATGAATATTTTACCTACAAGAGGCGTGGATTTTTTAAATAATATTTTTCAAGGCCTACAAGGACCTACAAGAGGCGTGGATTTTTTAAAGAATATTTTTTCAAGGCCTACAAGGACCTACAAGAGGCGTGGATTTTTTAAAGAATATTCTTTCAAGACCTACAAGAGGCGTGGATTTTTTAAAGAATATTTTTAAGGGGCGGGCTATCAAGAGGCGTGGATTTTTTAAAGAATATTTTTAAGGGGCGGGCTATCAAGAGGCGTGGATTTTTTAAAGAATATTTTTCAAGGCCTACAACGACCTACGAGAGGTGTGGATTTTTTAAAGAATATTTTTCAAGGCCTACAACGACCTACAAGAGGCGTGGATTTTTTAAAGAATATTTTTCAAGGCCTACAACGACCTACGAGAGGTGTGGATTTTTTAAAGAATATTTTTCAAGGCCTACAAGAGGCGTGGATTTTTTAATGAATATTTTTCAAGGCCAACAAGAGGCGTGGATTTTTTAATGAATATTTTTCAAGGCCTACAAGAGGCGTGGATTTTTTAATGAATATTTTTCAAGGCGTGGATTTTTTAAAGAATATTTTTCAAGGGCCAACTGAGGCGTGGATTTTTTAATGAATATTTTTCAAGGGCCAACTGAGGCGTGGATTTTTTAAAGAATATTTTTCAAGGGCCAACTGAGGCGTGGATTTTTTAATGAATATTTTTCAAGGGCCAACTGAGGCGTGGATTTTTTAAAGAATATTTTTCAAGGGCCAACTGAGGCGTGGATTTTTTAAAGAATATTTTTCAAGGGCCAACTGAGGCGTGGATTTATTAAAGAATATTTTTCAAGGGCCAACTGAGGCGTGGATTTATTAAAGAATATTTTTCAAGGGCCAACTGAGGCGTGGATTTATTAAAGAATATTTTTCAAGGGCCAACAGAGGCGTGGATTTTTTAATGAATATTTTTCAAGGGCCAACTGAGGCGTGGATTTTTTAATGAATATTTTTCAAGGGCCAACTGAGGCGTGGATTTTTTAATGAATATTTTTCAAGGGCCAACTGAGGCGTGGATTTATTAATGAATATTTTTCAAGGGCCTACTGAGGCGTGGATTTATTAATGAATATTTTTCAAGGGCCAACTGAGGCGTGGATTTATTAATGAATATTTTTCAAGGGCCAACTGAGGCGTGGATTTTTTAAAGAATATTTTTCAAGGGCCAACTGAGGCGTGGATTTTTTAAATAATTTTTTCTCAGATCTACAAGAGGCGTGGATTTTTTAAAGAATATTTTTCAAGGCCTACAAGAGGCGTGGATTTTTTAATGAATATTTTTCAAGGGCCTACAAGAGGCGTGGATTTATTAAAGAATATTTTTCAAGGGCCAACTGAGGCGTGGATTTTTTAAAGAATATTTTTCAAGGGCCAACTGAGGCGTGGATTTTTTAAAGAATATTTTTCAAGGCCTACAAGAGGCGTGGATTTTTTAATGAATATTTTTTCAAGGCCTACAAGAGGCGTGGATTTTTTAATGAATATTTTTCAAGGCCTAAAAGAGGCGTGGATTTTTTAATGAATATTTTTCAAGGGCCAACTGAGGCGTGGATTTTTTAAAGAATATTTTTCAAGGGCCAACTGAGGCGTGGATTTTTTAATGAATATTTTTCAAGGGCCAGGCGTGGATTTTTTAATGAATATTTTTCAAGGCCTACAAGAGGCGTGGATTTTTTAATGAATATTTTTCAAGGCCTACAAGAGGCGTGGATTTTTTAATGAATATTTTTCAAGGCCTACAAGAGGCGTGGATTTTTTAATGAATATTTTTCAAGGCCTACAAGAGGCGTGGATTTATTAATGAATATTTTTTCAAGGCCTACAAGAGGCGTGGATTTATTAAAGAATATTTTTTCAAGGCCTATAAGAGGCGTGGATTTATTAAAGAAATTTTTTTCGAGGCCTATAAGAGGCGTGGATTTATTAAAGAAAATTTTTTCAAGGCCTATAAGAGGCGTGGATTTATTAAAGAAATTTTTTTCAAGGCCTATAAGAGGCGTGGATTTATTTTTTTTCAAGGCCTATAAAGGCGTAGTCCTCAGGGGACCTGATGAATTTTTTTAGTCTAGGGGACCTAAAATTTTTTCTATAAAAAAAAAGTCCTCAGGGGTGAATTTTTTTCTATAGAAAAAAATAGTCCTCAGGGGTGAATTTTTTTCTATAGAAAAAAATAGTCCTCATGGGGACCTGAGGAATTTTTTTGTAGATAAAAATAGTCCTCAGGGGACCTAATGATTTTTTTTTTTTCTATAGAAAAAAATAGTCCTCAATATTCCTCAGGGGGCCTGATGAATTTTTTTCTATAGAAAAAAGTAGGCCTCAGGGAAAAGTAGTCTCAGGGACCTGAGGATTTTTCTTCTTTAGAAAAAAGTAGTCCTCAGGGGACCTGATGATTTTTTTCTATAGAAAAAGATAGTCCTCAGGGGACCTGATGATTTTTTTCTATAGAAAAAAAATAGTCCTCAATGACCTGGGGAATTTTTTTCTATAGAAAAAGTGGTCCTCAAGGACCAGAGGAATTTTTTGTTATAAAAAATAGTCCTCAGGGGACCTGATGAATTTTTTCTATAGAAAAAATAGTCTTCAATGACCTGGGGATTTTTTTTCTATAGAAAAAGTGGTCCTCAAGGACCAGAGGAATTTTTTCCTATAAAAAAATAGAAGAAGTATTTCTCAAGGACCTGAGGTATTTTTTCACAGAAGGTGGCCACTCTGCACACACATCATGAGAAACAAATTTTAGAAAGAAAAACATAAAACCCTTGAATCACCTGTTACATGTCGAATGTGTGTGCGGTGTGTCGCCGAGTGCCAAAGACACGCGATGTCATTCACGCGACATAAGAGTAAAATGAAAATTAAAAAATACAAAAACAACAACACGTAGGGGGAAAAAGTACCCATTCACCATCGCAATAATGTAGTCGTTTTCGTTAGAACAGCTATTTGTTGTTGTTGGCCATTGGGTAGGATGTTCGAACTGTTTGTTTGACTCATCTAAAAATAAATTGATGCCGCATTAAAAGATGCGTATAGCTGAAGTACTTGACAAGTATCGAGATATATGCATGTATGAATGTGCGTCGATTCGTTGTGTGAGTGGATACAACGTATTTTCGATGTTCGCATGTAAAATTAGAAATTCAAATTGTTTTCGATTTGTTTTCATTTTCTTTTTGTTAATCTTTTAATTTTTTTTGTTTGTCGGTCTGTCTGTCGGAAGATTATAGGGATTGTGGGAAGATATAAATAAATGTGTGTCAATAGAGGTAAAATGGAATGGATATACCTGTAGGAAAGAGGGTATTTTCTGTCATTAGGATAAAGGAGGGGGTTTTTCTGCACAAATGTCCTCAAGTTAATTCAGGAAGAAAAAAAAACAAAAGCGTTCCCTGGTTCCTGACGATTTTTTTTCAAATGAAAATAATGATGATTTTTTTTCTACAGAAAAAAATCGTCCTAATGAACATGAGGCCATAAAAAAATATTCTTTAATGAACATGTAGGTATTTAAAAAAATTCTTTATTCTTTATGTAGGCCTTGAAAAAACATTCTTTAATCCACTCCTTATGTAGGCCTTGAAAAAATATTCTTTAAAAAATCCACGCCCTAGATAGGCATTGGAAAATATTCTTTAAAAAAATTTAAGCCTCTTGAAGGCCTTAATAAATTATCTTTAGAAAATGTGTCGGATCAAAATTTTTTATCGTGTTCGATATATTGCCCCGCATAAAATAATTGTTTACAAATATAGTTGGTTTGTTGTAAAAAAAAAAATTAAAATAGAAAATCAGGAAAAAAATCCACTTGTTGATCATTTCGTGCAGTTTGAGGTGCATTGAATGCCTCTCTGCAACGATGCCAAAAAACAATTTCATACCGACAGACAGACGAACGAAATGAAAAGTCAGAAGCTTATCGTACAATTGTCGAAATAAAAAGGGCAGCAATTGCCAAAAAACATATACATCCAAATCAAATACACATACACACACCATGAAACAACACCCAGCCACACATGCACTCACAAAAAAACACACACACACAGAGACAACTACCCTGAACCAGAAATAGAAAAATGTTGCTTAAAAATAAATTGCAAATTTTTCAGCAAATGACTACAAATAAGATGAACAACAGCTAGAAAAAGCGGAAAACGTCATTTGGCCCACCGGTATGCCACAAAAACGGCGC